TGTTAAGCGTAAGTTTATTGGCTGTCATCCAAGTCGATATTTTGATCAGCTCCTCATTCACAATGGTGTTGAGGGTGGCAAGATTAGGGTGAGAGATGACATATGTCGTGTCGTCAGCAAAGAGAATGGATTTCAGGTGTTGGGATACGTTTGGAAGGTCATTGATGTATATGAGGAAGAGCAGGGGACCAAGGACACTTCCCTGCGGAACTCCAGTATCAAGTGGCCGTGTTGCTGATGCTGTGTCTTTAATGGTGACATACTGATACCTATTAGTAATATAAGATTTGAAATAAGCAAGCGCATGGCCTCTTATACCGTAATGATCAAGTTTGTGGAGTAGGATGTCGTGGTCTACTGTGTCAAAAGCTTTTCTTAGGTCAATAAAAATTCCTAGTGGATATTCCTTATTTTCCAATGCTGTGTAAAGCAGATCTAGCATTTTTATGATTGCATCATTAGTGCTTTTATTTTTCCTGAATCCAAATTGGCAGGGGTTGAGTATGTTTTGAGCCGTTATAAATGAATACAGTCTCCTGTGCACGAGTTTCTCAAGATTTTGGATAGCAATGGTAAGTTAGATATTGGCCTATAGTTGTTTAAGTCTGTAGGGTCACCACCTTTATGTATTGGTGTAACCCTTGCCATCTTGAGTAGTTTCGGGAAGGTGCTAGTCTCTAGTGACTTGTTAAAAAGTAATGAAATAGCATGCAAAAGGAAATGGGCCGCTCGCTTGTACAGTAATGGTGGGACATGAGACAGATTCCCCGAGTTATTTTTAAGTGACTTTATAATCTCGGTGACTTCCGTGGGCTCAGTTGGTGCAAGATAGAAGGAATTAGGGAAATTCCCATCTAGGTAGTCCCCGGCATGGGCATTGGTATGTGGGATTTTACTGGCGAGATTAGATCCTATGGTTGAGAAGAAGTCGTTTATCTTGTTAGCTGTGTCAGTGGGATGTAGTGGTGTTTCATTAGGTTTAGTTAGGACAATATTCTTGGTTTTTCTCAGTTTGTGGGTCCCTAGAATCTGAGAGTGTTTTCCAGGTCTTTTTTATATCTCCCCTAGTGTCTGTGAATCTACTGGAGTAGTATAGTTGTTTGGCTTTCTTTATTACTTTGGTGAGAGCTGATGAATAGTGTTTAAGAATATCTTTGTGTATTAAGCCCTGTCTATATTGCTTTTCATATTGGTGTTTCTTGTCAATGGATTTCAGAATGGTGCTGGTTAGCCATGGGCAACCAAGTCGTTTGTTTGTGATCTGTTTTGTTTTTATAGGACAATGTTTGTTGTATAGTCTAAGTAATTTGTTAAGAAAAATGTCTGTCCAGTCATCAATACCATTGGCCTTGGAGAATTCTGTAGGCCAGTCAACAGTCTCTAGGTCAGCTGTGAACTTCCTTACTGAGGCCTCGTCATGGAGTCTAAATGAGACTTTGTTGTATTCAAGTGGTGGTTTACTAATGTTTGTCAGGAGGAAGGTAGGGTAGTGGTCTGTAGTGCTATCTGTGATTATCCCTGATTTAAGGGGGGCTAGTATATTGGTCCATATGTGGTCTATTATGGTTGCACTTGTCTCAGTGAGCCTGGTTGGTTTAGTTATTGTTGGTATGAGAAGTGTGTTGTTCATATTGTTGATGAAATCAGTTACAGGCTGATCATCTAGTAAGCCAAGGTTGATGTTGAAGTCTCCAGCTAAGAGAAGGTGGTGCTTATTCATTTGTCTGTTTGTTATTAGTGACTTTAATTTTTCACTGAAATTTGGGATGTTTGTGTGAGGTATCCGGTAAATGGCACCGATTGTTATAGGCGTCTTAAGTTTTTTACAGTAAAATTAGCAAAAATGTATTCCCATATTCATCACTAAAGCAAGTGGTGCTAATACAAATAATTGGTTAGAGTAATAGATTGCAATACCACCCCCAACTTGGTTTGGTCTGCAGTTGTGAATTGCTGTGTATCCTGGTAGAGGGTAGATATATCTATTGTGTCCTGCTTAAGCCAGGTCTCAGTAAGAATAATGCAGGAGAAGGGTGTCTTTAGTGATTCAAGGAGTGCTAGGAGGTCATCATAGTGTTTGCTTAAGGACCTGATGTTGTAGTTAAGTACTGATAGACTTTTAGCATTGTTTAGGATAATGCTGGCTTGTGATGCTGTGTAGTAAAGGCAGTTACTTTCCAATAGGTTTTGATTGGGTGTCAGATTATGGAGGTTTAGATCAGGGTCAACGTGATCAATCATCTTCTAGGTTTAAATTATGGTTATTTATATCCTGAGTTGTGTGTTGAGTTCTAGTACTGATGTCTGTAGTGGTAGGAAGTTTGGACAAGTATATAGGAATGTAAGGCATATTTCTTTAGTTTCAGGGTGCTTGTAAAGTGGAATCATTTGGACGAGGAAGTGGTGGAAGCGAACTCAATACACAGCTTCAAGAGTAGATACAATAATGTCCAAGAAGCCTGGGAGGCATGGTTAGGAATTGAGAATCGACATCCACACACTTCGCTGGCGCAACTTGGTGAGGACATGTACATCATGCGGGCATGCACCCATTTTTTCATTCATTCATTATCTCTGTGTGTATCTCTCTGTGTGTGTGTCTCTCTCTCTCACCAGCGACCAATGAAGAAGTGGGGCCAGGAGCTGTGACTCGACCCATGCAACCACAACTAGGTGAGCACGCACACACACACACGAAGAAAAATATGTTCTTTTTTATCAGTTTATACACACACACACACACACTGTGTATTAGGTGAGTACATAGTGTGTGTGTGAAACAAGAGATTAGTGTAAAAACTGGAGGATCAGGCAGGGATGACAGGGAAGGCACTACAGTGGATCAGGAAGACAACAGCGAGTCATGGTACGTGGCGAGGTATCAGAGAGGGCGCCTGTGACGAGCGGGGTTCCACAAGGGTCATTCCTAGGACCGGTGCTGTTTCTGGTATTCGTGAACGACATGACGGAAGGAATAGACTCAGAAGTGTACCTGTTTGCAGATGACGTGAAGTTGATGAGAATTCAATCGGACGAGGACCAGGTAGAGCTACAAAGGGATCTGGACAGGCTGCACGCCTGGTCCTTCAACTGGCTCCTGGAGTTCAACCTCACCAAGTGCAAAGTCATGAAGATTGGGGAGGTGCAAAGAAGACCGCAGACGGAGTACAGTCTAGGGGGCCAGAGACTACAAATCTCATTCAAGGAAAAGGATCTTGGGGTGAGTATAACACTGGGCACATCTGAGGCACACATCAACCAAATAATTGCTGCAGCATAAGGGCGCCTAGCAAACCTAAGAACAGCATTCCAACATCTCAATAAGAAATCATTCAGGACCCTGTACACTGTATGTTAGGCCTGTATAGGAGTATTCAGCACCAGTTTGGAACCCACACCTAGCCAAGCACGTAAGGAAACTAGAGAAATTGCAAAGGTTTTCAACAAGACTAGTCCCGGAGCTAAGGGACATGCCCTACGATGTAAGGTTAAGGGAAATCAACCTGACGACACTGAAGGACAGGAGATAGGGGGGATATGATAACGACATACAAAATCCTGGGAGGAATCTACAAGGTGGACAGATACAGGATGTTCCAGAGATGGGACACAGCAACAAGGGGTCACATTTGGAAGCTAAAGACTCAGATGAATCACAGGGATGTTAGGAAATATTTCCCCTCAAGGAAGGTTCCTTGATGTTGGTGAGGGGCTCTTGATTTAGGGAATTGGATCTGTGCTCCAGTTCCCCGAATTAAGCCTGAATGCCTTCCACATCCCCCCCAGGCGCTGTATAATCCTCCGGGTTTAGCGCTTCCCCCTTGATTATAATAATAATAATAATAGGAAATATTTCTTCAGTCACAGAGGTGTCAGGAAGTGGAAGAGTCTGGGAAGTGATGTAGTGGAGGCAGGATCCATGCATAGATTTAAGAGGTATGATAAAGCTCATGGAACAGAAAAAGTGACCTAGTAGCGACCAGTCAAGAGGCGGGGCCAAGAGCTATGGCTGACCCCTGCAACCACAACTAGGTGAGTACATAAATACACACACACACACACACACACACACACACACACACACACACACACACACACACACACACACACACACACACACACACACACACACAATAAAGGTACGATAAAGCTCATGGAACAGAGTGGACCTAGTGGCGACTAGCGAAGAGGCGGGGCCAGGAACTGTGAATCAACCCCTGCTACCACCAATAAGTACACACACCCGAACACTCCAACATTCACACTCAATCAGCTTTCTCAAATTTGCAGAAACTTCTAAAGTTGGGCAATTTTCCTACGTTGCAGGTTAGGTAAGATTCGTCAGGAAACAGGACAATAGTGACCTGACGCAGATCTTAGTCATAAGATGACCCGCCACTGGAGCTCTTGGTCATGACAGAGGCCTTCCGCTGGCTGACCGGTCCACCTCTTTAAAAATTAAAATTAGTTATTGAAAGCAACCGGTCTTATGTTATATATACAACATTTCTATGACACTGCAGTGTATTATGTTACTGCCTTCGACTGAGTGCCAATGGATCGAGAACAATGTACAAGACACGTTTGCTTATATTTCAAGAGATATATACATTATATAGTTTTAATAATTACCCTTGCATAATTCTCTTCAATGTACGGGCACTATAATGCATTTTAAAGATAATTCATGTGAATTTAGTAATCAATGATGAATTGGTAGTAGTATCTAGCAGTGATTTATGGACCAATCACAATTGAGAGAAGGTGAGCGAGAGCCGCTCTTGAAGTTATTATTGGCTACCGGACGCGCGATGCTGCTGCCAAAACTTTCCCTTAAAACATTATTTTACGCATTTTACTGCTCTAAAACGCTAACATGATGGTAAAAAAATGGTATCTGAATAAGTTGTAAATTTGTATGCGAGTATTACAACAGTATTAAGTGTTCATAGTTAGTGTAAAAGATATGACGGCGGAGGTGAGGGAAGCTGACCCACAATGCAGCAGCCACAACACCAGTAGTTGTTGGCTCTCAGCAGTGTGGAGTAGTAGGCATAGTAGTGTGTGGTGATGATGTGTGTTGATGGTGACCTGTGAATCTGTGAAAGAGTAGCGGGTGGTGAGTGAGAGATGCCGGTGGCACGCTCGGTGTCTGCCTCACAGCTGGCCAGAGCAGAGACCTCCATGAGCAGCCCAGGAACGCCTGAGGCAGAGGGCGGCCCAGCCCTCCTCACCCAGAAAGCCCACACACTTGACAGGTACTCACGCCCACATCAATACCTCTCTACATTCACAGAAGCTTCTTTAATCTCTCTCTATGGTGTTATGTTATTCTTGATGTTATTGTTCACGTGAATTGGGTCTTTAACGCCCCACATGCCGTTAATAGGCTGGATACTTGCCTAACTTGACAGATACTCGCCTCTACAGTTCTACGAAAGATGACATACTGTCAGTTTTATAGTTTACAAATGGTCACAAAACTTGTATGAACAGAACAGTCTGAATCTCGCGACAAACCAGCATGAACTGCTGAAAAGACATCAAGGACAAGAAAGTATTTTGGGTCTTAAGTACCGGTGTAGTTGTAGAACTGACAGCGATCCACATGTAATAAGCACAGAAATCTGTATAAAATAAGTCTTGTACCAAAGACAAGCCTTAAATTATAATGATGCATTAGTTACTAAAATCCTAAAATAATGATTTTGATTTTGGTTAAAAAGCTTACCGGGTGTTGGCCTTTTAGTAGAGGTGCCTGGACGCCGGTGAAAGGCTCTTGAGACAATGAGATAAGCAGTTGAAACTACACAACTACCTTACATTAGCCTAATTGCTTCCCATTCCTCATTTCCCTAGCACTGTGTTACTTATGGGTGTATCACTTTCCCCTAAATATGATTCTAATAATTACTGGGTGTTGGAAACCCAGAAGGAAGAACTGTAGTCTGACCTATTGTAAAGATATCCTAGTAACAGGCATCATGTCACTTTTATATTAAAAGGCAATATGCAGTATGTAACGAATAAGTTAAGGATAAAAATTGCCTACATTTAGTGTAATATCTTTGCTTAAGACTAATGCAAAAAACTAAGAGAAAAACTAGTTCAACATACAACTACTGAGAATGGTTTATTATACTTAACGGGTCTACCTGTACAAAAGGACAGTTGTACCTGACTTCATATTCATTCATACTGTGCCACTGACATCTGAGAGTATTTTTTTTCTCTTAAAAAGGGGTTGAAGTGCTTGGTTTATTCATTACTTGGCATTCACTCCTTATGGTAGTGAAGGGCTCTTAATCCAGGGAATTGGAGCTACTCTCCCCGCAGATCAAACATGATTACTGCATAAGGAATCCAGTTAAAATAAGTGACTTTATTATGATGATATCCTAGATAATTTACCCATGTTACTATAAGACAGTTGTAAAAATAAAAAATTGTGTAAAGAAGCTGAATCAATTTATTCTCACACCCAAGTACTGTGTAAATGCTGTGGAGTTGGTGCTTTTCTGTAAATTGAAAAACATTAATACAGTCTTAGAGTTGATTATTATTATTATAATCAAGGGGGAAGCGCTAAATCCGTAGGATTATACAGCACCTGGGGGGGAATGTTTACCTGGAGAGTATTCCGGGGGTCAACGCCCCAGCGGTCCGGTAATGTGACCAGGCCTCATGGTGGATCAGAGCCTGATCAACCAGGCTGTTACTGCTGGCAGCACACAATCCAACGTATGAGCCACAGCCTGACTGGTCAGGTACCGACTTTAGGTGCTTGTCCAGTGCCTGCTTGAAGACAGCCAGGGGTCTATTGGTAATCCCCCTTATGTATGCTGGGAGGCAGTTGAACAGTCTTGGGCCCATGAGACTGGAATATATTCAGGCATAATTCAGGGAACTGGAGCACAGATCCAATTCCCTAGATGAAGAGCCACTCACCAGCATCAAGGAACCTTCCCTGAGGGGTCTTGGAGTTGAAAGGCATAAAGGCAGCAGTAAGCATAGCTCTGAAAAAGACCTACATAACTGCAGTGGATTCATATTTTAACAAATTAGGATTTAAACCGGAAATAGGGAAGCATTTGTTTGTCAAGCTGCAGATAAGTGGAACAAGCTGCCAAGCAGTAGTACATGTATATAAGATGATTTAGTGTAGCTTCACTTAAGTAAACATGCAATAGATGACCTGTCTAGAACACATGACCATAACACAAGGCACAGATCACTCTTTGATGTTCCTCGTGTCCATCTCACGCTATGCAGAAACTCAATGCACATAAAAGGCCCTAAAATCTGGAATTCATTACCTGTAAATATAAAAGAAACACTACCTGTTTATAAATTCAAGTCTCTTCTCAAAGATCACTTACTCACTCAAAACCAAATAAATACTGAATAACTGAACCTTATAAATTGTATATCCTATATGTTACTCACAATTATATCACACAAATGTTAAACCTAGGACCCAATCTAACTTTATTATTTTTTTAAATACACTAACAGAATACTCCATTCGACTGAATGTACAGCAATGCAAGCAACCATATGACCTGTCTTTGTAATACTCATTTGTGCTTTATAGTTATCTGTTTACAATAATGTTTTATCACTGATTTCATCATTGCTTAGTTAATCTTAAGTTAATTTTAAGCCAGCCCGTAATGCTATACATATAAGTGGCTTTGACATGCTGCTCTTACCTGTATTTTTTGTACCTCTGTTTGTATGCTTAAATTACTAAATAAATAAATAAAGTACCTTAAGCAGTTATACTTCAAGCTCAGGGCTGAGATATAACTTGCACTACAATTTTGTTGCCTGATAGCCAGCCTTGCATAACTCAAGCTAGCATATCATGTGCACATGTTAATTTGTATGAATTGCAACTCATTGGGGTGATGTACTTTTTAACAGTTTTGTATACTTATGATTATTTACTCCCTCCTTTGAAAAATGTGTTAATTACTACTCAAATGAATCTTTGCTATCATTAACCATTTGAATAACTGCCAATGTTTGTACTGCATTAAGCTGCCATGGTAATACAATACATGTACAACTTAGGAAGTTCATCATTAGGGCAATTCAGTAGAAATATTTCTTTAGAGCTGGACAGATACCTAAAGTCAGTGCTGGATCAGCCGGGCTGTGGCTCGTACGTTGGACTGCGTGCGGCCAGCAGTAACAGCCTAGTTGATCAGGCCCTGATCCATTGGGAGGCCTGGTCATGGACCGGGCCGTGGGGGTGTTGATCCCCGGAATAACCTCCAGGTAACCAGGCAGTGTCCCCTCAATGGAGGTTCCTTGATACTGGTGAGGGGCTCTTGATCTGGGGAATTGGATCTGTGCGCTAGTAACCTGAATTGAGCCTGAATACCTTCCATGTTCCCCCCCCCACATGCACTGTATAATCCTACAGGTTTAGCTCTCCCCATGATTATAATAATTTAGGCAGTGCCTCTGTAGCAAGCTTGTCACCTAACACCCAATAAGCCTCTGAGCCTCGATGAAAAATTTCCCAAGTCTATTAAACTACTACAATAACTTATTATCATCCATGAATAACATGTCTACCAAACTATAACCATAGTTGCTATGTGATTAGCCTAAACTGGTGCTTTGTTTTCACAGTTAGGATGCTTCATAAACCTATATCATGATAATAAATTATGCATAGGTAGTGCGTGAATTATCTTCTACAAATAGCTACAGCTATTAAAGTACCAGTACTTGCTTTTTAGTAATTTTTAACATGTATTCATAGCCACATTATAAATCTAGCAATACACTATACAGTATGTATATTATACCATAAAAACAATACTGTACAGTATTGTACCTACAATATACTATACAGAACTGTACAGTGCAGTATTTCTGTACAGAAATACTGTACCTGCTGTACTATATTGCAGATGATTCTAATTTGGTATCTTAATTGTCAGTGCGTAAGTGTTCTGTGCCTATCTCCCACTAATTCTACATTAAAAATCAAGGAAGGAAACAAAGCCAATATACCACCAGTCATATATTGTATATCAGTGCTGCTAAATTAACAGGCAAGTTTCTCATTTGGATTTTATCTAAAAACTTTGAAAAAATAATATTGTTGGACTGCATAAATACTGTATGGACACATTCATAACTGATGGCAATGTGGGCCAGTGGGTTGCCAACAGTAATGTCTTAGATGAGTATCTTTATTGTGGAAACATTTTGGCAACTAGTGGTTTTATCAATCCCATACAGAGAATATATGGTGGAAAATGAGAAGGTAGTTAGAGGTATTCAGTCCATTAACATTGGTAAATCTATTGGATTGAGAGTCACAGGTTAGTAAAATATCTACACAATAGACACTCCTAACCCCCCATCCCCCAGCCACCCCCCCCCCCAAGTGTTGCACATATCTTGTCCATCTACTTATTGGTTTTCTAAGCCATTGATATAAGCAACGGTCTAGGTGAATAGGCAATTAACAGAAAAGTCTGGTCCCAGGCTTTGTGCAGTACTGCATATGAGGTCTGTAGTTTAGAATATCTACTGTATTGAGTCTTCATATTTAATTTGAAGTGTATGCTTATTGCTGAATAATAAATACTTTTATAGTGTTTAATTTTTTATTGTACAGCACATACTGTATTATACTCTAATCTGAGAATTATGAAATTTTACCTAATGGTGTTAATTTTCTTTCCTACAGATTTTCTAAACCATCAACAATGAATGGACATGCAGACCCTCGTAGAAAGCGACCATTTATGTCTTTCAGGCTTAGCAAAAAGCCTGGTAAATATAAGGAAAATGGAATGCCACTCAAGAATGATATAAGCCAAAATCCCAATGGTGTTACAGATTCTTCCTCGATACAGACGAGCATGATAAGTGAAAATGGAGTCGAGAGCCTGGATGGTGGAAGTGATTCCAGCAGTGCCTCTGTAAAACCAAAGAAAAAGTACCTTACACGAATGAGTTCGTTTGTGAGTCGGGTAGCTTTCAAGGTACAAGGGGGCACGCCTAATGCACCAGTTGGGGGTCATAGAGGAAAGCTCGAACGGAGCAAGACTATCTCTGTGTCAGACCTCCAAACTCCCAAAGTTGAGGATTATGTAGAGTTTGAGGAAGGTAAGGTGCCTGGAGTCATGGGAATCCGTAATCATGGTAACACTTGTTTTATTAATGCAGTGATTCAGTGCCTCAATCATACTGACGTACTTGCCGAGTACTTCGTTTTGGACCAGTATAAGCATGACTTGGCAAGGTGTAACAAAATAAATTCCAAAAAGTATGGCACCAGGGGGGAAATTACAGAACAATTAGCTGTGCTACTAAAGGCACTCTGGACGCTCAGATATGTGCCTGATTTGTCCATGAACTTTAAGAACACTGTAGACAAGTATGAGTCCATTTACCGTGGTTCACAGCAACATGATGCTGCTGAATTCTTAATGTTTGTATTGGACAAGGTGCATGAGGATCTTAATACAGCATCTAAAAGGAAGTACAAGAAGATAAAGGTAAGTGAGAATTTTTTTTTTTATAACTAAACACCATCAAAGATCTCTGATAATAACAGTGGGTAATATTACTCATGTTTTAATCAGATTTATTTTCCTTCTTTCTATGCACATTTATGTAACAGGTTTTACTAAACACTACCCAAGAGTCTGTTGTAGATAGAATCTTACAACCCAGATATCTAAAAAATATTTTGAATCAGAACCCAGACAAGATTACCAAAAAACTATCTTTTGAGATCTAAAAACTTAAGAACAGTAATGCATTTGTTACAGAGCAGTAATGCATTTGTTACACAGGCATTATTACTTATTATCAAATTAGCTTGAATTGTGTTTATATACACTCAGTGGCCACTTAATTGGATACACCTTGTAGTACTGAGTAGGGCTTCCCTTTGCCCCCGAACAGCCTGAATTCATTGCTGGTTTGTTGAAAAAAAAAATGCTTGTTATTTCTTTAGCCTATCTGTAAAATAGTAATGTATGCTTCATATTGTACAGGAGGACTGTGTGACCTACAGGTCATAAAGACCTGTTAAACATTGACAGACTTACAAGCTGTATTACAGTCACTTCTGTAAAAGAAAATATAGGTTCCCTCCCCCACCCACATTATACAAATTTGTTTTATGCAAATTCACTGTTATATGATATATTTCTATCAGTTATTCTGTATGTGTTATATACTGTACAGTTGCTATGTGCAGTTGGTGTGGTTTGCAATGGGGATTAAAGATTCTTTTATGCAAAATTCTGCATTTAAGGCCTAATTGAGTTTAGTATAGCTGCCATGGACCTGGAATGCATCTACATCATAAAGAGAGGGACACACCTATAGAAAATTTTATGTTGGTATCATTTGATTTATTAATTGTACTTCTGTATACATAAACATACATTACACTAACATGACTAGTAACTTAAATAATTCAGTCCTTCTCTGAAGAGCAAGGAAATGCTTATGTACATGTACAGTATTTTTTATCTAGCAGTTAATTTTGGGCAAAGTATAATACACATCTTTACAGGAAATGTTAGGAATTGAACTGTACTAGTTGTGTACAGTATTTCTCTTGTCTAAGTTCACAACAATTTTGAAAATAAATACTGCATATACAAATGAATAAATAATAAAAATATTGAAAAATTATAAATATCCAAAAATATCCATGATCATGGTTTTTTTTAACCCTTTAAATGCTAGTGATATGCTTGTATATTTGTGGCATTCAGCCTGTGGAAAATTTGGGATAATTTCCTGGTATTTTAATAGCATTTATAATTTGTTTTACATCAAAGAGTGAATTAGTTTAACTCAGGGAGGGTGTGTGTAAAATGTTTAGTAGCTGAACCAATAAGCTCTTGGTGAAGTAAACCCTGAATTTATTATTAAAACATGATTAAATTAGATAAAATGTTTTCTATACATAGGGATAATTAGATATTGTGTGAACCTACTGATTAATTGGATATTATTTGTATGGTGGTTGATACAGTGGACCCCCGCATAACGATTACCTCCGAATGCGACCAATTATGTAAGTGTATTTATGTAAGTGCGTTTGTACTTATATGTTTGGGGGTCTGAAATGGACTAATCTACTTCACAATATTCCTTATGGGAATAAATTCGGTCAGTACTGGCACCTGAACATACTTATGGAGTGAAAAAATATCGTTAACCGGGGGTCCACTGTACATCTAAATTGAGATAAATCAAGTTGGCAGATATGCTTAGAATTTATTGGTTAAGGGGGTGACTTCACAAGGTCAGAAAACTGGTTTGAAGAATCAACTGATACTGCTTTTTAATAAATGTAACCCCCTAATTTTTAGCACAGATATGGGGCTTAAGGTTTTAGCATCAGGACATTGTGAGTTGTGTTGTGCATTTAGAGGCATATTAAACCAGAAAATTGTGGTTGCTGGTACCTCTGGGCACACTTAGAGAACTTGTCTACAGTGTTTACTGGATGCAAAATAGCAACACTACTAGATGAACATAATTAATGAGGGAGGCTAAGATTAGTCATGAAACATGACAAGTGGTTTCCTGATGTAGGTCTTAGTCAAATGATGACCCACACTGGAGCTTTTGATCTGACCCAGGCCTTCACTGGCTTAACAGTCCACCCATTTAAAAACTGATACTTTTACATATGGCTGAATATCAAAACAGTGTTCCAAGGTGGATGATTTAGTTCCCATGTGTTGACTGAAAGCAACATTTAGTGTACAGTGGACCCTCAACCAACGATATTAATCCGTTCCAGAGAGCTTATCGTTAGACGAATTTATCATTAGTAAAATTAATCTTCCCCATAAGAAATGGAAATCCAATTAATCCGTTCCAGACACCCAAAAGGATGAATTTTTTTTTTTCGCATGAAATATACATTTTCCTACACAGAAAAATGATTCATGAACAATAAATACTGTACTAAATGAAGAATAAATGACACTCACATTTATTGAAGATGTAGTGATGAGTGATGAGACTGTTTTTCTTGAAAACATTGGGATTTTCAGAGTGATACATGAGTAAGGGCTTCACTTTGCAATCCCCATTAGCATTACAACAAAACATGAGTTAGCCTGTCTTTCATAGGCTTGTATCCTGGGAGTGCCTTTTCATCCTGAGTAATGTAGGTCCTATTTGGCATTTTCTTCCAGAACAGGCCTGTGGGATGAATTTTCCAGCTTTGCCATGCCTTATCACACTGTGTATGCCACTACAATTCTTAAATCTCTCAAACCAATCTTTGCTGGCCGTAAATTCACCAATATGAGCACTAGTTCCAGGTATTTTTTCTTGTTAACCTGGGTGTTAGTTGACTGGTGTGGGCCGCATCTTGAGGACAAGATTAAGGACCCAATGGAGATAAGTTACAGTCCTCGATGATGCACTGACTCTCTTGGGTTATCCTGGGTAGCTAACCCTCTGGGGTTAATTGTTTCTCGTTCAGCCACACCAACAACAGTCTCTCCACATCATTGAGTAGTACAGCTGATGGTGGTGCAGCAGCAGCTGACCATGATATAGCAGCAGACCATGGTACAGCAGCAGCAGCTGACCATGGTACAGCAGCAGCAGCTGACCATGGTACAGCAGCAGCAGCTGACCATGGTACAGCAGCAGCAGCTGACCATGGTACAGCAGCAGCAGCTGACCATGGTACAGCAGCAGCAGCTGACCATGGTACAGCAGCAGCAGCTGACCATGGTACAGCAGCAGCAGCTGACCGTGGTACAGCAGCAGCAGCTGACCGTGGTACAGCAGCAGCAGCTGACCGTGGTACAGCAGCAGCAGCTGACCGTGGTACAGCAGCAGCAGCTGACCGTGGTACAGCAGCAGCAGCTGACCGTGGTACAGCAGCAGCAGCTGACCGTGGTACAGCAGCAGCAGCAGCTGACCGTGGTACAGCAGCAGCAGCTGACCGTGGTACAGCAGCAGCAGCTGACCGTGGTACAGCAGCAGCAGCTGACCGTGGTACAGCAGCAGCAGCTGACCGTGGTACAGCAGCAGCAGCTGACCGTGGTACAGCAGCAGCAGCAGCTGACCGTGGTACAGCAGCAGCAGCAGCTGACCGTGGTACAGCAGCAGCAGCAGCTGACCGTGGTACAGCAGCAGCAGCAGCTGACCGTGGTACAGCAGCAGCAGCAGCTGACCGTGGTACAGCAGCAGCAGCTGACCGTGGTACAGCAGCAGCAGCAGCTGACCGTGGTACAGCAGCAGCTGACCGTGGTACAGCAGCAGCGGCAGCTGACCGTGGTACAGCAGCAGCTGACCGTGGTACAGCAGCAGCGGCAGCTGACCGTGGTGCAGCAGCAGCAGCTGACCGTGGTACAGCAGCAGCAGAAGCTGACCGTGGTACAGCAGCAGCAGCTGACCGTGGTACAGCAGCAGCTGACCGTGGTACAGCAGCAGCTGACCGTGGTACAGCAGCAGCTGACCGTGGTACAGCAGCAGCTGACCGTGGTACAGCAGCAGCTGACCGTGGTGCAGCAGCAGCTGACCGTGGTACAACAGCAGCAGCAGCTGACCGTGGTACAACAGCAGCAGCAGCTGACCATGGTACAACAGCAGCAGCAGCTGACCGTGGTACAGCAGCAGCTGACCGTGGTACAGCAGCAGCTGACCGTGGTGCAGCAGCGGCTGACCGTGGTGCAGCAGCGGCTGACCGTGGTGCAGCAGCGGCTGACCATGGTGCAGCAGCAGCTGACCGTGGTACAGCAGCAGCAGCAGCTGACCGTGGTACAGCAGCAGCAGCAGCTGACCGTGGTACAGCAGCAGCTGACCGTGGTGCAGCAGCAGCTGACCGTGGTGCAGCAGCGGCTGACCGTGGTGCAGCAGAGGCTGACCGTGGTGCAGCAGCAGCAGCAGCAGCTGACCGTGGTACAGCAGCAGCAGCAGCTGACCGTGGTACAGCAGCAGCAGCAGCTGACCGTGGTACAGCAGCAGCAGCAGCTGACCGTGGTACAGCAGCAGCAGCAGCTGACCGTGGTGCAGCAGCGGCTGACCGTGGTGCAGCAGAGGCTGACCGTGGCGCAGCAGCGACTGACCGTGGCGCAGCAGCGGCTGACCGTGGCGCAGCAGCGGCTGACGTGGCGCAGCAGCGGCTGACCGTGGCGCAGCAGCGGCTGACCGTGGCGCAGCAGCGGCTGACCGTGGCGCAGCAGCGGCCTGACCGTGGCGCAGCAGCGGCTGACCGTGGCGCAGCAGCGGCTGACCGTGGCGCAGCAGCGGCTGACCGTGGCGCAGCAGCGGCTGACCGTGGCGCAGCAGCGCTGACCGTGGCGCAGCAGCGGCTGACCGTGGCGCAGCAGCGGCTGACCGTGGCGCAGCAGCGGCTGACCGTGGCGCAGCAGCGGCTGACCGTGGCGCAGCAGCGGCTGACCGTGGCGCAGCAGCGGCTGACCGTGGCGCAGCAGCGGCTGACCGTGGCGCAGCAGCGGCTGACCGTGGCGCAGCAGCGGCTGACCGTGGCGCAGCAGCGGCTGACCGTGGCGCAGCAGCGGCTGACCGTGGGGCAGCAGCGGCTGACCGTGGGGCAGCAGCGGCTGACCGTGGGGCAGCAGCGGCTGACCGTGGTGCAGCGGCAGCAGCTGCTGACCGTGGTGCAGCGGCAGCATTTCTCACCCTTTTTACCACAGGGTTGGCACTAGAAGCTTTCTTTGGGCCCATTGAGGCTTATTTAGCAGTTACAAGCACTAAAAACAATGGAATAATGCAGTCCGCCCTGGCTTGTAAACAGTGGTACAGTAGCTGAGCTGAGATGGACGCATTTGGGACGAAAGATGTTATTCGAGTTTTTCATCGTTGGTTGGGCCAAAATTTTTACACTAAAACGCTTCGTTAGTCGATTTTATTATTAGATGATGCCTTCGTTGGTTGAGGGTCCACTGTACACCAAGCAGATAATTGGTTTGTTGGCCAACAAATAGTATATGTACTTGGAGGGAGGAGGTACTACATGCTGCCATCAGTAAATTAAAGCAAATAGAATGGTAGTACATTTAAATTGTGTAGATGTAGATTGAAATATTGATGAGTAGCATAGTCAAAAAATACTTAATGATACAGTACCTGGGAAATTTTATGATAGTTTGCACTACGATATGTCCTTTTAAGTAAAATAACTATGTGAAAAGTGAGCTAAGAATTGTTCTAGCCAAAGAGATGCTAGATTTCAAATATGCATTATCAGAGGAGGTGGTAGTGTTTGTGACTTCACCATGGAATCCTGGATGAGTATTAATGTTTACCAGTAAGACTCATGAAATTGTAATGACACAATTGCAAACAAACCATACCATGGGCGAGGATTGAACTCCTGGCGAATGAGTCATGAAACTCCAGGTCAGCGTGCAATCCACTGGGCCAGCTGGCTGCAATAAGATTCATCCAACTAGGTATATTTATAACCATAGAGAGGTTTGCACAGGCCTCACTGTGACCACAAATGCAAGTTTTTGAGGGGAATAGAGCTAGAGTTCATCACGGCCACGCTGGCAGGAGATTCATCTGTAAAAAAAAAGTTTAATTTGTGGTCACAGTGAGGCCTGTGCTAACCTCTCTGATGTATAAATACGTATACCTAGTTGGACGAATCTTATTGTAGCGGGCTGGCCCAGTGGCTTATGAGATGGCCTGGAGTTTTTAACAACTCACTCGCCACGAGTTCAGTCCTCGCCCGTGGTATTGTTTGTGTACCAGTAAGTTGAGCATTCTCCTTGCAGTACACTATACCTGGAGAGGGTTTCAGGGGTCAATGCCCTGCGGCTCGGTCTGAGACCAGGTCGTGTGGTGGATCAGGGTCTGATCAGCCAGGCTGTTTCTGCTGGCCGCAAGCAAACTGATGTGCAAACCACAGCCCGGTTGGTCAGGTACTGACTTTAGGTGCCTGTGCAGTGCCTTCTTGAAGACAGCCAGGGGTCTATTGGTAATCCCCCTTATGTATGCTGGGAGGCAGTTGAACAGTCTTGGGCCCCGGACACTTATTGTGTTGTCTTTCAGTGTACTCGTGGTGCCCCTGCTTTTCTTTGGGGGAATGTTGCATCTCCTGCCAAGTGTTTTGCTTTCATAGGGAGTGATTTTCTTGTGCATGTTTGGTACTAATCCCTCTAGGATTTTCCAAGTGTGTATTATCATGTATATCTCGCCTGCATTCCAGGGAATACAAATCAAGGGACTTCAACTGTTCCCAGTAATTTAGGTGCCTTATTGTACTTACGTGTGCCATGAAAGTTCGTTGTACACTCTTCAGGTCAGCAATTTTGACTGCCTTGAAGGGGGCAGTTAGTGTACAGCAGTATTCCAGCCTATAGAGAACAAGCAATTTGAACAGAATCATCATGGGCTTGGTGTCCCTAGTTTTGAAGGTTCTCATTATCCATCCTATCATTTTCCTAGCAGATGCAGTAAATACAGTGTTGTGATCTTCGAAGGTGAGATCTTCTGACATTATCACTCCCAAGTTCTTCACATTACTTTTTCACTCTGTGGTTAGAATTTGCTGTATACCCTGATGCAGTTTTAATTTCCTCAAGTTTTCCATATCTGAGTAGTTGAAATTTCTCTTCATTGATCTTCATCTTGTTTTGAGTGACTTGCTTGAAGATTTGGTTGATGTCTTGTGGTGTCTTCGATGGAGGTCACTGTCATGACAGTTTGGGTGTCATCTGCTTGTATCTCTCAGACATGAGGATGAGGAATAGAATGGGAGTGAGTACTGTGCCTTGTAGAACAGAGCTTTTCACCATAGCTGCCTCAGACTTTACTCTATTTACTATTACTCTGTGTTCAATTTGTCAGGAAGTTATAGATCCCTCTACCAACTCTTCCTGTTATCCCTGTATCACGCATTTTGTGTGTTACTACACCATGGTCACACTTGTTGAAGGCTTTTGCAAAGTCTGTATATACTACATCTTTATTTTGTTTATCCTCTACAGCATCCAGGACCTTGTCATAGTGGTCCAGTAGCTGGGACAGGCAGGATCACCCTGCTCTAAACCCGTGTTGCCCTGGGTTGTGTAATTGATAGGTATCTAGGTGGTTGGCGAACTTACTTCTTAGAACCCTTTCAAAGATTTTTATATGGGATGTTAGTGCTATCAGTCTGTAGTTCTTCACAAATGCTTTATTACCACTTTTGTAGAGTGGGGCTATGTCTGTTGTTTTTAGTGAGTGTGAGAGGACCCCTGTGTCCATGCTCCCTCTCCATAGAATACTGAAGGCACGTGACGGGCTTCTTGCAGAGTTTCATGAGTCTGGGCATGGGGCAGAGTGCATGGGCATGTCATTTATTGCCTTTTCAGAGTCTTGTGGTGTTTAGATAATATCTGAGATTTTTGGGATGACCAAATTTTGGGTCTCATTCATAAAGAATTCATTTGGAGTGTCGACCCTTAGTCTGGGTAGCAATTTCCTTTATAGCGTTTAGTTCTTCCTGCGATTCTTGTCTCCTGTAAGTTTCCTTAAGCTTAGGTTCGATATTCGCAATTTCATTGACCAGTGCCTCCCTT